GGAAATTTGTTGTTATTAGCCGAAGTGGCCAATAAAATGCCGAAAGCCAAAATAGTCGCTAAAAATACAAATGAATTTAACGGTCAAAATTTGACAGTCAAGATGAAATTAACAGTCAAAGAAGAGAACGTTAAACAAAAAAGTACGGAAAGACTCGCAGGGAGGAAATCGGAAAAAAAGAAACTGCAGTGTGGAGTATGTGGACAGATCACGATAAATATAAAAAGGCATATGATGATTCATACCGATGAGAAGCACCACATTTGTCCGTTATGCGGGAAAAGTTTCAGACTGAAACAACATTTGAAACAACATATGCCATATCACGACAATAACAGGCCGCTCCACAACTGTACTATCTGCAGTAAAGGTTTCCTGAGTGAACGATCTTTGAAATCACACAAGAATTGTGAAAGAAGTTGAAGGGCACATTTTAAACTGATAAGTTATATTTCTGTCCTTATTTTAATGATAACATTTTATTACTGTTATTATTTATCACTTGCTTATAAGTTTTTAATTTTTTATCTCAATTCCATAATAGTATCGTTCTTTTTCCGTCTCTTTGTTGTTTCTTTCATTTTAGTCAATAAAATTATCAGTTTTGTGTTTACTTGCAGACCTGTTAAATTACTTTTTCGTTATTCGCCCATACATGACAAGTAAATGACATGCTATATGCAAATAAGCACAACTGTTAGTATGATATCTTCTAGCTTTGCATATCATTTGGTTTGGGGAAAATTTGCGATAACATGGTCGAAGCATAACATTAGACTACCAGACTTGACCCAGGAAGTAACAAAACGACCAATTACAACGAAATTAAAATTTAAAATTACTGGTCAATTAAAATATTACAATAAATTGCTTCCATCTTTGATCCATTGAGAATTCAGATTTTTGTTTTCAAAACTCGTTTCATTGGGGACGTGTTTTTTGAACCTTAGCCTTTGTCGCGAATTTCAATATCGCGAAATTCCAAATAAATAATAAAATTTCTTATTCAAATTGTAAATGAATGTTAACAACATTTACATAATTTTTTTCTCATGCTTAAAATCATGAGTCAGCTATCCAATCTACTAAAAGAAATTTTCCCTTTGATGTTGAGATTTGTGCACATATGGTAACTGATTTGTAAAGGCTTTTATCCCATACAAAATCTTTTATACAATGGTGAGAAAGCTGTACATCAGATGAAATAATTTCTATGTAATTTTTTCTGAAGAAAACTGTTCTTATATGTAAATTTCTCTTGCACATGTGAGAATACTGGATATATAATGATTGTTCCTCTTTATACACCCGATATATAAACCCTAAGAATCTCTAACAAGGTTAATGTTAATGAAAATTTTTCTCCACGTCGCAACTCAACGCTACTCAATACAATCCAAACTTATTTCCTATTTTTTCGAATCTTTACTTGAATATTTCTCCCATTATTCTACGTTATTGGACCTTATTATACTACAATCGAAATTACTTCTAACCTTGTCGTGGAAAACGAA